CGCCCCCCCCCCCCCCCCCCCCCCCAAAGCGCATCCAGAGTTATGGTGGCCGCAAAGTGATCAGCTGTGGGCCAAAAAAAAAGTGAACCAATTTTTGACTTGAAATAGCTGTTTGCAAATTAAGCTGTGGCAATGAAAAAAAAGCACCAAATGAAAGCTTGTTCAATTATTTTTCAAATAGTATGTAGTTTTTTGGTGTCAAGTATTATGGAATGATCACAAGAACTATTTGAATGAAAACTTTAAGAAAAAAAATGGTCAGCAAAATGTGTCCACTAAGCAGCTGTTCTGCTGTTTGCATGAATAAAGGAAATGCAGGATGCAACAATTAAACCAGAAAACTTCATGCTCTCTTGGGGAGCCTGCACATGTTCCCAAAATTCAGAAAGAGGGGTGGAAGGACATTGGCAAGATAGGATGCTGCAGGGCTCCCATGGTGCACAAGTGCTGCTGGGCAAAAGGCTCGCAGCTCCCATTGGCCCACTGCATGCACATTTTTTCTAGATGACTGGATTTCTCAAAATTAGTTTCACTCAAAATCAGTTTAATTCAAAACCATTTTCACTCAATCCAGCAATCCAAAAAAAGCGCATGTAGTGGATCACTTACTGGTAGCTATACAAGGCCAGTGCCCCGCAGCATCCTATCTTGCCAATTTCCTTCCCCCTTCTCACCCCTTCCTTGAAAAAAATCTCTAGGAAGGACAATAAGCAGGTCTAAAGTTTGCCACCGATAATAAGATTGCTATTATTATTGCTTCAAGATTCCGTAAGAAGCGGAAATAAATGGTACTGAAAACTCACAGACGTAACATTCTACAGTATTGGTGAGCATTCATTTTCGAGGAGCATGCATATGGAAGTACAGATACTGTATTGCGAATGAAACGTTCATGGCCCTATATTGTCTGATTTGAGTCGTCACTTTTTTAATAAACAGTAATCCCATAACTTTTGATTCATGAATTGTGTACAGAATAGCAAGAACGTTGGAATTCTTTCCAGGCGCAGGCGCATTATATAATCCACGAGTCGCGCAATTTTAGACGGACTGCCCAGATGTCTGCTATAATCACGCCGGGCGGACGCATACGATGCACCTGTCTGGACGAGGAGCAAAGGAAAGACGACTCGCTCACTCCCAGCTGTGGCATTTCACCTTCCCTCCTCAGGTTCGCATGACAGAGATACATTCACCTTAGGCTAGCTTCGGAGCCCCTATACCGCCTCAGATGCATTGGGCCTCGTGGCTGTTCACTGGGTGATGCATGTGTCGCAGGTCAGAGAGAATTGCGGATGTGGAACGTGAACTTATGTAACACACGTTGAGTCGTTGTGCTAAATATTTTCGTGGTGCTGTATTGGAAGGAGATAGCTAGTGCAATGCGTGTTCGATGTGTATAGGTGTGTACATTGGTCATTCCCACTGGAAAATCCAAATGTGAGACGACAGACGACGCATTGCTCGAGACGAAATTGTCTAGAATTGTGTTCGAAGTGTAGAAGTGCGTACATTTTGTCATTCGTGGACAATACAAATGTAAGACGACGGACAATATAATGCGCGAGACGAAATTGTCGAGGTTGACTTGATGTGTCAGTGATCGATGGAAATGTGTGAAGAATTTGCTCCGATAACGGAACCTTGAGCTTCTGTGAGATTTCTTTCGATGTGAAGCACCTGAAAAGAGGCCTAGTTTCTCCGTTTTTGTGATCGGAAAAGTTATCTTCCGCGTATATGACCAGCATGCACAGCAGAAACGGTAATCGATGCGGTAATCGATATCCTGGGTTGTTTATTGCTATAGGTGTTGATGTATTTTGTGCATAAAGTGTACGTGGCTCTACCAAAATGAACTCGGGTTCGTGTGACTCAGTGTCGCGAGAAGAGACGCATCTCTTGAACGATACCCTGACGTCCGATGGTTTAAGCGTTGCATCCGCAGAGCTGAGCACAAACTTTCTCGCCAAAGAAACGGTATTCACATATTTACTTCCTGAATGCAGCTGTAAAACTCAATGCTATATTGAACTCAGTACTAGTTAATACGACTGGTGCACCGCTGCAGCAGTCTCGATCACATCTTCTCTCCTGATGGTGATATATGGGTTAAGAGAATTTGAAAATTTGATCCGGACTTGATCGAACATAACTCCTTAAAATGTACGCCCATCGCAATTCCAGCGAAGAATTTCAAAAATTATAGCCGGAAACTAACCCAATCTATCAACTAACATTTTTTTAAGGCCTCGAACTACATTCGTACAGTATTTTTTAAAGAAGTACTGCATAATGCCACGTTGTCTCGTCCTGTAGACTATATCTTATTGCTCTTATATTTTTGTGATTGCTTGCCGCTTTTGTACAAAATGCAAATCTTGACTTTAGCTCGACTTTCATTCTAGCCTAGGAAAAAAGACAATTATGGCTCGTTCCACGGTCCGGAACCCGTCGTGAGTTACAAAGACAGCGCAAGCATAGCATGGAAAGATCTGAACATGTTTGTCCCGGCCAAGAAGCCTACATCAAGTTGGCCTTTCAAGTCTTCTTCGTTGAACTTGAAAATGGTTCTTAACGGAGGTGAGAATTATTTATGTATTGTCTAAATAATTCATGAATAAATTTCAATCGCATTGTCGGCCTGCTCTTTATTGAGCTCGTATTATGAGATTGTGAGTGTGTATTATTTCTCGTTAGACGTCAGAATAGGTCTGCGCATGGGCGGGACGAATTGCTTGCAATTTTTTTTTGAAGTTCTTATGCCAGTATTAGAAGGAACATTCTGCGAGGTTTGAGTTATCCTGATTTCCGCGCGTTTTTCATAAAATATGTGTTTTCAGTTTTGCTCATAGAATATGATACTGTAGTTGGATTCTTCTGTCGAATTTAATTGGCTGATTTTCTTCGGATTCGAACGCATTTATATGCTCACTTGATCGTGGAAATGAGGCAATCCGCAGTTGCCGAATCTTGGACTTTTTTGTTTGTTGAACTACAGTAATTGAAATTTCCACATCTGCATCAGCAATACCACTTAAAACCATTGATTCATGTGCTTCAGTGGAACAAGTTTGGGTCAATTTTTATAGAATATATTTGCTCTGAAATGAAACCTTGCGGGAAATTATGAAAGATCATCAACTTCAAGTAAGACATGCATTGTCTGGCTAATACACATGTTCCTGAATTTTTTTTTTCTTCCATAATCATGATGGTACAATTTTTTGGTTGAGAATGTTCAACAAATGTGTAAAGAAAGGATTCAGACAATATCAAAATTTTAGTGTGAAGAAGTCAGCAATGGAATCCATTGAATGATTCGAATCTTGTGATAAAGTGCATCCGAACGATTTTTGTTTTCAGAATGCCTAGGATTTGCTGTGCAATTTGTTGAAGTGATTTCTGATTACGTCACTCAATTTGAATAATTGGGCTATGTAGTGAGTGACGATGCATTTTACGGGGTAGCCATGCGTAACCGAATTTGAAGATTTTCCATACCTCTATATTTTTGGTTGTTGCGAAACTCTGCTCATTTCTTCAAATGTGACGCATATTTTCGTACCTTTTTAAGTACTGTTTCATACTTTTATATCCTATGCTGCACATAGTCAGCGGTTTCGTCAAACCGGGAACTCTGACGGCGGTCATGGGATCCAGTGGTTCCGGCAAAACAAGTCTCATGAATGCCTTGGCTGGTCGTGTGCAATCCGATTGCTTTGTCGACGGACACATAGCTGTTAATGGTCGCTTGTGTGATGCTAAAACCCGGTCGAACTCCTTTGGTTTCGTCCATCAAACGGACATGTTTTTTGGTGCCTTGACGGTCCGGGAACATCTAACTTTCGTGGTGAGTTTTATCTTCGTACTGTATATTGTATATGAGCAGCTAAGCCAAAATTGGAGCAATGGGTATGATTTTGATCCTGTTGCAGAAAAATGTTTTGCAGCATACGTTGCTGTGCTTTTGAAATAATCCTCAAGTGTTCCAACTGTCCAGACAAAAATGACGTACGTTCCCCATTTGGAATTTCACCTTACTCGGTATTTTCAATGTATGATTTACCCCACATTATCAAGCGTAACTGAAGCATATCCGAACACGAAACGAAATTATCTCAATACCGATCTGTATTTTAACCGATCATCGGAATAATCAAAGATAATCTCCGAGATATGGTACTTCAGTTTAGACGATAATCGAGGACGCAAATTTATCATCGACCTGCAGAAAGGGACGATATGAAATAAGTTTTTCAATTATTTGAACCAGATGCAGTCTACGGTGTCCCATTCGCGTTTCACTTTTATCATGAGTAAATGTCGTGTTCTCTCAAGCGATCATCATTTCCCAACTGACAAATATGGGTCAGTCAGTGCTTCCAACGTTGGTGACAACCTTCTCACGACATTTTAAAATCTTACGGTCGGTTACGTTGGTTCAAATGACTCAAATGTTATGAAGGTACAAAAGACAGAGCCTGAAGTCTTTCTCGGTTATACAGTACAGTACTTAGGAAACTTATTTCAATTTAGCGGTATTAACAGTTGTGGCGGATTTCAGCCGAATTTAGAACACATTTCGGCTAATTGGCATTTCGGACAATCGGATGAAGTTTTCTCACGTCCGAAAAGGAAATTCGTTCGCATTTACGTTCGATACAAGCGAGTTTCACTCGTTTGGACGGAGTCCCCCATGAATGGATGAAAAGCTAATCACAATAAGTAAAAGTTGTTCATCATAAATCAAGATTTATGCGGCTGTCAAGCTGCGGATAACAAGGAAGATTACTTTTGTCGCTTCTTTTTTTTTTTGCCGTTCGGGGTTCGTTGTACAGTAATGTAACGTGACGCGTGTTTCCGTTTTGGTGATCCAGGTTAAGGATTTATTTCGTCAGCAAATCCTTGATCGTCATTCCCACGAATACTTACTGTTTTGTAATTTTAAAATGGATGAGGGATTTGATGGGGTTTTAAAAAAGATGAAAACATTTTGGGCTGTGGAGTACAAGGTTCAGTTCTGTTCGTTCTTATTCAATTAGAAAAAAACTGCTCGATTTGTAAAGGATTCAAAGGCATTTTCAAAGTATAATCGAGTCCTCTGTAGAATTTTCATCCGGAAACATTCAAAATTTTTTTAACGTTATTTCTTTTTCTAAAAGAAAATTAAAGCTATCGCTGATTTCATGTGTGCACTATGTATTTGACACACACTCCGAAGACTGTGTAATTGACCCTTAGAATCCATGAAAATGTAAAATTTTATCTTCATATCATTCTTTTCCTTAGGTCGACAATTTTAATGTGAGTTCGTCGGAGATAACATGGTAATAAAATTCATGTTTATGGTAATAAAAATCGATCGCCGTCTGAGATCGCGGTTTCCTGCTTCAAGAAATTATTGTTCCCGAGTTTTTTTAGTGGTGGTAAATTGGTATTCAGATAAATGATTTACTTCTGAAGATAAGCTCGAGGGTTTCTTTTTTTCAATTCATTGGCCACTGTCAACCGTGACCCACAACCACGTGTCCACTTAAAGAGTCACATTTGGCATAGGGATGACAGTCCTCAGGTAATTCTTCATCGTCTAAAGTTCACTGTTTTCTAAGGTGATTGTACAGTATCTGTTTTCGAGTTGCTTGAAATACTTCTAAAACGTGTTATTCCGCACTTTATAGAATTCTGTGAAACTCTCAAATTCTATGTTTTTAAAATTTTGATAACATTGTCATTATCTACGTAGAGGAAAAAATCTGCCGTCGTTTTGCGCATTATGAAAACTAGTGAATTTCACGCGTTCTTCGTCTTTATGTATTTTTCTTCATTTATTTGGTGCTGCTGATACTGTACTATTGAAACCAACTTTTACTTTTTCTTCTGATGCACACAACTAAGTGCTCTTCAGCTTCATACCGTAATTAATTTTTCTGAAATTCTTCAAGTGCACTGAAAGAATTGGTGTAGCATTTCTTCAAAAAATTACTGTATGTCGCTTATTATTTTTTCACGAATACGTTGATTGGTGGACTGAAAAAAGGACCACAGTGCTCATTGGTATTGACTCGTTAATTGTTAAGCTCCAAGAAGGTCGGGTTTGAATTCCTCAGCGTTATAAGCATATACAGGGTGGGAAAAAAGTGAACCGATTTTTGACTTGATATAGCGTGATATGGAATTGAGCTGAGAAAATGAAGAAAAAACGAAAGCTTGTTCAATTATCTTTTGAATAGTTTTTAGTTTTATGGTTCTAAGTGCCATTGAATGGTTGCAAGAACCATTTGAAATAAACATTTCCACAAAAAAAGTTGTCGGGAGACTTTTTCCACTAAGCTGCTATTCTGGAGAGCTGTTAGCACGAATAAAGGAAATACAGAATGCAACAATTTAGCCAGAAACTTCATGCTCTCTTGGGGAGCCTGCACATGTTCCCAAAATTCAGAAAGGAGGGCATGAGAAGCGGGAAAGAAATTGGCAAGATAGGATACTGCGGGGCTCCTGTCCTACCTGCATGCTGCTGGGTGCTGGCCTCACAGCTCCCAGTGACCCACTGCATGCACTTTTTTTTCTGGATGAACGGATTGCTCAAAATCAGTTAATTCAAAATCATTTTCACTCAAAATCAGTTCCAGCAATCCAGTCACCCAGAAAAAAAGAGCATGCAGTGGGTACGTCACCGGGAACTGTGAGGCCAGCACCCAGCAGCATGCAGGTCTGGACAGGAGCCCCGCAGTATCCTATCTTGCCAATTTCTTTCCCGCTTCTCATGCCCTCCTTTCTGAATTTTGGGAACATGTGAAGGCTCCCCAAGAGAGCATGAAGTTTCTGGTTTAATTGTTGCATCCTGCATTTCCTTTATTCGTGCTAACGGCTCTCCAGAATAGCAGCTTAGTGGAAAAAGTCTCCTGACAACTTTTTTTGTGGAAATGTTTCTTTCAAATGGTTCTTGTAACCATTCCATGGCACTTGGAACCATGAAACTAAATACCCTTTGAAAGATAATTGAACAAGCTTTCGTTTGGTGTTTTTTTTCGTTGTCTCAGCTCAATTTGATACCAAGCTATTTCAAATCAAAAATCGGTTCACTTATTTTTGGCCGACCCTGTACAGTCGGTATATAATTGCTCTGGGTTGCTAATTGTTCACCAAGAATAAGTGAGGCATAATGAAAAACAGGTTTTGTCACGAGACATTCTTGCGAACGTTCTGGCGTATCCATCAGCCCTGAAAATTATGTAATCCTTATCCTAAAATTTCGAACCCTTTCCCAAGAAAAATTAAAACCTTTCGCCAATCTTTGTATGCTGTTCAAGGAACCGATAATGAGCTTGATGCATGAAGATAATGTACAGTATTCCTAAAAAGAAAAGCACTTTTTTAATATTGGTTTGAATGAATTTGAGTTGTTCTTTTTTGTCCTTGGAATCGATCAATTTACGAAGTTTAGTACTGCCACTTCGGGTTTGTTACGCAAGCTTGGAAATATGCATAATAATTCCGACGGTGATGCTTTCAGATAATCGAAGAGTCCGCCTCAAAAATTAACTAGGACGAGTTAATTTTGAGTTTTAAGGATGACTACCTCTGGAATCAGATAAGTGTATCGTCTATACAAGTATATTGCATCTGCAATTGTGGGACATACATCTTTGACTTCCTTGGGAAAGAATTCCTTCTTGTGTTCCCTATTCCATATTTGTTCAGCGACAGACATCAAGAGTGCCAAGTTTTTTTTTGGAACTTACTGGATCAATTACGCGTAGAAATCGTGGAGGTATTTTCATGAGATAATTGTTTCTGCTTGTTTTCCGCTGAGTAAATTGAATTTTTCAATTACGTATGCTTCAGTCGTCGGCGTTGGAACTGGTAGATTTGTCGTAACCTCAAGAAGACTGACGACTCTCGACTATACGAGGATTTAGCCTGATCAAATTGTATTGCTTCGAAAAGGTTCTGGAGGCGAGATGAACATGGATTTAGTTTTTGCGAGAAATTTATGTGACACAGCACATGAGTTATTTCTGAACGGAAAAAACGGATGTGATGACGTGTAGGAATGAAATTGTGATGGGTATAATTGTTTAAGCATAAATGAAACACTCGGATAATAATTTATTGTCGCAGGTTTTACCGAGCCTATTTCAACTAATACTGTAAACAGTGTAGGATTATTATTTACGTAACAAATCTTGACGGCAGTATTATTTACCGAACGAGCGAAGTTCTAAAGTTGGAATAAGTTCGCAATTTGTTCCTTCCCTGGATTTTTTTTTCGTGTCACTTTTCCAGTCTTCTTGGTTTTGTTTCACTTTTCAAAGTTTTATTTGATAAAATCGTAGAAGTTTCCGTAAGCTCAGCAATAAATATATGCCTAGTTTTCGGTGTACAGTAGTCTCTATCTAAAGATGATTTTTCTTTCTTCTTCCAATTGCAAGTTTTCCCAGCCCAGTTTGGGTATAGAGTACAGTACAGTAGTTTGAAGTTTTTATTTTCCGAATCTAAAATAAATCTCAAAATGGTAAATTTAATCAATGCTAGAAAGGGGATTTCTGCGCTTCCTCGTCAGCGACATTTGCAGCATATTGACTTTTAATTTATATATTGTTTTGAAAGGAGTCGTAATAAATTATGTTCGATTTTTGTTCAAACTTTGAGATATACTGTATTTTATAAATTCTTTCGAGTCATTCTACTGGTGTTTTGTTACGCTTCCGTGTTTTGGATAATGCCCGTCCTCTATACCGAAGATATTCGTCGCTCGAGAAAAAAAAACATAAATTGTTATCCCCTTAGGATTCTGAATCCCAAGCGATACTTGTTTTCATGCCTGACGTCTCTCGGGTTTCTTCGACGTGTCGGCGAAGCCGTTCTCTTCCGTCTGGACTGAGTGCTGTTTCACATTCTGCCGTTTCATTTTTCATATTCAAAATATGGCAGATCAGCTGCCGACACTTGTGTCGACGGGATGTTGTCAACGTACGGTATTCGTGCATATAGTTTGACAAAGACAATTTTTTTTGCATATCACAGGCGAGGCTAAGGGTTGGCCGATATTCGACTAGAGGAGAGATTCTTCAGCGTGTCGATCATCTTCTGTCAGCTTTGGGACTGAGGAAATGCCAGAACACTCGCATTGGTATTCCGCACGTCACCACTGGCATTTCTGGAGGAGAACGAAAACGGCTCGCTTTCGCTTCCGAGGTACAGTATTTCAATAGCCATGATTTATTTTATTTTGTCATCTCTGCAGTGTTTAAAAGACCCACGAAAAATATGCAAAGGGTTGGCCACTAATAAGGAGTAAATTAACACCCTATAATGCGTGTACGATGGTGGATACATCTGCGTTTTTTTGCCTTGTGTTTTCCTCATGAATAAGTTTGGGTGCTGAAAATAGCTTTGATTATCACCCGATATGAAAAAAATTCGTTTACTACACTGGAAAATGTGCCAATTTTTGTCTCCGAGGTTTCAATTACCTGGCACATTAGCATGCTTAATTAATTTTTGGGTGTCGTAAGGGCTGATAAATAATAGATAGATCTTCAATTTTAAAGGGGTTTCAACCTATTCGTATTGTGGAATTCGTAGATTTCATGCAATTCGCAGATTTTCCGAATTCGCGGATTTTCCTCAAATTTTGAATCAGCTAGCGATAAGTTGTTCGGGAATACAATTTTAAATAACTCGGGGATATGATCGACTAAACTTCCAACAACCCCCTTTTTAGTGTGAAAAAGTCCGTGCGTAAACTGCTTATATATTTATTAGCTTACCCGCGAGTAAAGAATGATTCCTATACAGGATTTGAATTTTATTCTTTTTGGGTACGCAGCGCGTTGTAGCTCTCGTCATTATTTGGAGTTTAATTGATCATAAATATTGAAAAAACAATCGATCAGTTCAATATCGTCATATTTATACAACTTACTGTAGGATCAGGAAAGGGGGCTATTTCTTGGGCCAACCTGTGCTTGTGAATTCCTGTCTATTCTATAGCATGCGAATAAATTCGGCAGAATGTTGACCTGATGTTGAAATTGTACTTCGCTTTTTTCCCCTTCGGTGTAGATCGTGACGGATCCACCCCTTCTGTTCTGTGATGAACCAACCACTGGGTTAGACAGTTTCACCGCCTGGACTGTTGCGAAAACAATGCGTGAGATTGTTTCAAAAAGCGGAAAAACGATAATTTGCTCCATTCATCAGCCTTCTTCTGAAGTGTTCGATCTGTTCGACCACCTAATCCTGTTATCAGAAGGCTCAGTGGCATTTATGGGATCAAAGCAAGCAGCCTTGTCATTTTTCAACGAGTAAGTTTGAAGCATATGAGCGAATGAATGCGGATGAACGATTGATGGCGATTTTGTCGTGATTTTTTTTTCAGCCTGGGATACCGGTGTCCGTCGACATTCAGCCCAGCAGATTTTTATGTGCATACCTTGGGCATTGCACCTGGAAGAGAGAACAAGTCCAGAGCCGTGGTTCGAAATATCTGCAATTATTTCGCCATCTCCCGAGAAGGGGTGCAAATAGATCAGATGGTTGAACATGAGTTCGCTCTTGCCATGAATCTTGAATCGTCCTCCTCCTCTTCTTGTTCGTCTTCTGGAGTGAGTCTTGGTTCAATATTTTGCACCCAGGTAATTATGTAGATGAAGCTACGGTAATCCTTTGTCATTATTCCTCAGATTTCTTCGGAATTCGATTGTTTGACGGCGAGGAGGTATGTTCTTGAAATACTGTTCCCTGAAAATTCTTTGATAGTTTATTGTGAATCATCCACAGTAAACCGAATTGGTTCATCCAGTTCTTCGTTCTCCTGCAACGATCTGCTCTGGATGCGGCCAGGAACCCGGGCGTAAATCGAGTTCGAACCTTTCAGAAATTGGTGAGTGTTGATGATTGATGGAATGTTCGCGTAAAAAGATGAGTTCAGGTTAGAACTGATGTGTACTTTATTAGTAAAGTACATTTTCCTCGTTTATTGGTGTTGCACTATTCCAGTTTCAGCTGCAAGTTTGGGAGTCTCTGTTTAAATCGTGTATACTTTTCGCAGGCGTTGGCGATTTTGGTGGGACTAGCTTTTGCTAGTAGTATCTCGATGACTCAACGAGGCATACAGAACATCACTGGAGCTATTTTCGCCATCGTTACTGAGAACACGTTCCCGTCCTTGTTCGGAGTGCTTGGTTCAGTCCCTCTGGAATTACCATTGATTCTAAGAGAGTATCAGTCGGGGATGTTCAATCTTGGTCCTTACTATGCTGCCAAGGCTTTAGCTTTGGTAAGAACACATTTGAGTCACTAACTCACGTCTGCACGGGTTTTATTCGGTTTTTGGCCCTTTAAAAATTGGCACGTCCAGAGTAGCTTTAGTTAAATGCTCTTCCTGTTCAGGTAAAGGTTTCTGTCGATTGAAGTTCGGATCTCGTCTTCCGTCATTTATTTCACCGTTTCACACTTGAACAGTCATTCGAATTACGGTATACGTGTTCAGACATATTTTTAGTACGCATGCTGTACGGATATTTTACTTCCTTTTAAAGGTAAACTCGTCGTTTAAACGCGGTTGTTACATAATCTCTCTCGAAAAAATTGCTGAAATACCTCGAACTCATTCAAAGAAAACTAATCATATTGTACGTACAGATTGTCAATTGGAAAGGCATTAATTCATATGATGAGCGTTTCTTCGCGGGTATGTAACTATTTATTCCGGTTTGTTCCAGATTCCAGGCTTTATCTTGGAACCATTTTTATTCACTACTTTGGTTTACTTCATCATGGGACTTCGACCTGGGTGGTATTATTTTTTACAAGTACTGGGAGCAGTACTGATGACAGCGAATGCGGCGAGCGCTTGCGGTGAGATGATTTTCATTACAAAAATGAGATCAAGAAGTAGTTTGAATAAAGTAACGTGATTAGGAGAAACAATGCTAGCAAAACTGATCGCAGATAGTTGCTAACGCAGGAATCTTCCTTTCCATATCCTATTCTTGTTGAGCTGTTCAGTTGATTCGAGTTATTAACGGTTGAAGCTTGATTGCACCGACGCGTCCACCCATCGAAACATAATGAGCAGCCTTATTGCGTTCATGTAAGATCTAACAAACTTCTATCACAAAATTCGCTTTATGATCAACAGGTTGCTTGTTCGGAATGATGTTCGAATCCGTGTCAGTCGCCATCGCCACGCTGCTGCCGTTTGACGTCACCTTGATGATATTTGGCGGATTCTTTCTGCGTCTGGAGTAAGTGATTCTTTTGCTCTTCTTAACACTCGTTCATCCCAATGACTGCGAGATAATCTAAACTCGATATCGAAACCTGTTTCACAGCTCGGTATCGCCGTTCCTCAATTGGATCCAGTACATCTCTTGGTTCAGGTACTCGACTGAGTCTCTCATGATCAGCCAGTATCGCAATTTTGAGAACATCAGTGAGTTGTCACATTGAGGAATTCGTTTTTCAAGGAATCGCCCTTACAATTGTCTTCCTTTTTCAGCGTGTGAGCCTGAAATTCCTCAGGACCGATGCCTAAGGACAGGCAACGAAGTTCTAAACATGTATGGGTTTGATCCGGAGGCCTACGATTGTGACATCCTGATTCTTTTCATCATGTACTGCTTCTTCCATACGTGCGCTTATTTGGCGCTTCATCGTCGTGCACGTCATTTCGCGAATTAAAATACTGCGCTGCGATCATTTCCGCTCATCGAAACATTCCTAATGGCGAACAATTTTGCGATCGAGGTGCTAATTTTTGCTGCCATGAATAAGGGGAGTCGAAAATTATTCAGTTCCTAAACTTTAGCCACTTTCATACCCTTGCTTTCGACGTATTTTTACGGACTTGTGGATAGTGTTCTTTTGGTTCCCAATGGCTGCACTTGTTCCGAAATCAGCATCAAATGAAAGACCAATTTTTATCAGAGAAAAAAGTTTGTCCTGGTTATTTTCACCTTTAAAAAACAGTTTAGTAAGCGGAATTCAACTTTCAATTCACGATTGGTTCTAGTACGAAACGCCACCGGAAATAAAGATGGAAACAAAATTCTGCATGTCACGGTTAAACCACATCCAGGTATGACAAATTGACTCAACAGAAATGACAATCCCAAATTCGCACCACGTTGGACGGCAATGACAAAATAAATATTTTCTCACGACGGGTTGCTATGGCTGACTGTTGCGAGTGCACTAGCACAAAATGGCACAAAATCATCATGCAATAAAAAATTTAAACAATGCTCATCCTCTGACGCCTTCGCATGTACTGCAGTAGCCTGGCGGCAGGGATTGAATGCCGACTTCCTCCCTACAAAAATATTAAGAAAATATCAACATTTAAAAATACAAATAAAATAAATTCAGATCACAGCCAAGTGAGGAAAATTATCTGTAGCCGTGATCCAATTCAGTTCTTTTGCACGGTATATTCTTCTTGGAGAATTCGGATCTTCAGGCTTACAAGAGAAACGAAAGTTCGTGGAAACATTATAACATGATCATGGGAATAACATTTTCGGAGTACATATTTTCAGATGAAATTAATTCAAGTACTGTATTCTCATTTCAATCGATCAGAGCACCGGTAGGATCATACGAATACCCGAGCTTCCAGATCTTTTCACTCACTCGAAGTCTAAAAAATGTCTGACGATTACAGTACTCCCGAGTAAAAAAAAAAAATTACACGGGTGCATTCCATAATTGAACATTCGCAGAACTCAGAATAACCGACGGCATAAATACTGTAGTCTTCATTCGTTTCATTTGATTTCTTTTCTTACTTATCAATTAGATAAGACCTCTCAAGGCATGAAAATCACAAAGCGCTAAAAATGCCGAATCTTTTCCTCACATAACAAACTTCCAAGTTTTGATCAAAATTAAAATTTTAATCATCGTCACACGTTGATTAAAAATTCCGACGGAAACTGAACTCACCTCTTTGAACCATAATGCATTCAAACAATCGTCGCACGGAGTTCGCTTCTCAGGTAAAAACTGGAATAGCCCATCAATAACATCCTTAATTTCTGGAGAAAGTTCGGAAAAATATTCATCTGGATATGAATATTGCACATTTTCCACTCTCGTCCGCACATCAACGATCTGACCGTCTTCCAGAGCAAAAGGCGAAACTCCACTGCAGAAAAGAAAATCCGGGTGGGGTTTTTCAACACGAAATCCACGAAGTACAGTAGTTCAAAATTTTTTTCGTCGTACCCGAGGAATATGTAGATAACAACACCGATTGACCACAAGTCCGCCCCATAGCTGAGTTTGGCCCGATCCTTTCCCAACAGTTCGGGAGGCGAAAATTCGACAGATCCATGAGGGTGTGACAAACACGCATACCCATTTGGGTTTTCATCCGCTTTCACAGCGGATCCGAAATCGATCACCTTTAATACCGGGGGTGACTTCGAACTATCGGCCATCAGGTTTTCAGGCTGGAAAACACATAAAAGAATACGTTAGTCATCATGAATCCGCGCTCATTTCACGATTCTGAAGATGGTGTATTTTGAACGACTGGGTTTTTAAATTCTACTCATCCCATATTCAGCAGAGTAATATCTGGAATGATTATGAGTTAATTCTAATTTCGGCATATAATCCAAACTTCAAATTTTTTCCGTACAGTGAATTATTAGATTGTATTCTGGGTCTGAAAATATGACAGTTTGAAACAGACAATCAGATAACTGCGAAAGCTTGTCAAGATCGTTTCTCTTCACAATCTTTCTTTTACATTTCCTGTGCACCCAATATTGATACTGTACTTATAGAAGAAAAAATTCATCCACACCTACATAAAAATTTTGAATTCCAAAATGACCCAACTTGGATATGATGATTTTCCACGATTTTCGGTAAGTTTCCAGTGCAACAGAGCGTCGCAGACACATGATCAAACGACTAGGAAGGTTTTCGTGACTTTCTTGAGGCTCTCCATTAAAGCGAGTATGTTACACACATGAATGGAACTGGGTAATGCACATGCACTGACAGAGTACGTTTATTCTTCTAGTATCAGCATCATTGGATGGACGGAAAATTAACTGTGGAAGGTAGGAAATGATCCATACAATTCACTCTAATCATTTTATTATCTGACCTGCTCGAGATTTAAATTAAATGCTACGCAAAGAAGTTTGAAAAACTGGCATAAGCGCGGAAAATCATACGATTATTGTAGGATTTTTCAACGACTGCTAAAAGGAGTCTTGCTCGCAAGCAAATGATCACAAGCTGTTCAATGCTCATTTTGCAACTCACTCGAATATCGCCATGGATGACGGATTGCGAATGGAGATACGAAACAGCTTGCAGAAGCTGTTTCATATATGCACAAACCGTGGATTCAGAATAGGTTCGGCGACGGCAGGCGTAATGGAATATTGACTGCGTTCCCACACTAAAAAGAAAAACGCAACCACATGCTGAATCGAATTTTCGCACTTTGACAACTCTGTCGACTTACAATTCCATTATCATAGCATATCCCGTGCGAGCTTTGTAAAGATCCCACGCACGTGCTACGTTTTTGTGGATCAACAAAGAGTGGATACCGAATTCGTGCTTCACGACCTCCTCAGATTGCCTCCGGAAGAATTTTACAGAAACTTCACGCGATTCCCGCACGTTCCAACACTTTTTCACAATTGAAAAACGCCCTCTTCCAATTTCCTCAAGATCTCTGAAGTGCCTGTCGTAGCTTGGTTTGAACGACATGGACTGCTTCCGCAGAATTGGCAATGAAGTGCTCTCTGAAGAATTCAGATTGTCAATGTCCAGTCGGGTAGGAGTGCTTCTCCCTGATGTGCTAGAGGTTCTGCTCGCTGGGCGTCTTCTAAAGCAATTTATCAGAAGAAATAATGAAAATTTCAAAATACTCGAATGGAAATTCCGAAGCAACTAGCACACTGAGCACCAACTTGAACACCAAGTTCAGTAAACGATGATATTCCATCGTGAAAGACAACATAATTGTACTTTTACCGATATGTACCTCAGGTTTATTTCGTACTGCGGAATTTAGAAAAATTTACGATTTGACACGGCAGAAAATCGGGCACAGTGTACATACTTTTTTGTTGATGATATGTGGCCTAGGCTTTTTCCTTGTACACTATTAATTTTATCAACAGCTCCGCAACAATGGCAGTCAAACGAACCTGAACTGAAACATGAACCAAAACCGAATCCAAGTAATACCTGAACAGGACTTGAGCTTACTTTACTTCCGAGTCATAGCTTAACCTTACACTGTACATTCATACATCATTCATGACTAACTTGATCTGATATTCCTGATATTCAAGTGATGACTGATGAGTTACAGTTGAACCTCGATATCGAACATGCCTGTGTCGAAAAATTTTCGAGTATCTGTCCGAGTCTCTAAGAAACAATCAAATACAAAACCTCTTCAACTAGAAGGCTTTCCCCCTCCAACTAACATAACTCAAAATTTCTGGGGTCCGTCTAACTATTATTTTTGACGCAGGAAAGAAAAAGCAATAAACATGTGAATTGATGCATTTTGAAAGTAAGTATAAGACACTTGAGATAAGTAATTAAGTACAAATTGGGGAGATAAACTTCTGCCTTCAACTTCAGCATCCTGCCAACTTATCTCAAATAATTTAAGGCCTAGAATATCACCAATTAACATGCCTTGCACTTCTTTCTTCTTCAAAAATGGGAGTTTCCCTAATTACAGTTTTTTACGGTCCCTTTAAGTTTGACTTGAAAAGGTCTGACTGTACTAGCTCTTTGCCTGATTTTATCCGATACGCAAGTCCAAACAATTTCAACCGAACTTGTGAATGAGCAAAACAATGCAAATCGAAAGGGATTATTACTTGAATAAACTTGTTCTCCGGAACAGTATAAATAAAAGATGAATGTGAAAAATCTGAGCAAAACTTTCCAGGTACAATACTGTGCTAAAAAATTGCTCAAAATAAATCAGCCTCACATGAATGATAGAGTAAGAAATGCTTACCTATCACTCCGACGCTTCAGGGATCCTACGGGCATGATCATTCCAGCTGACAAACGAGGAGATCCAGAGCGGCTGTTACAGCTGGGACTTCGAGGAGGACGCTTAGGCAAAATTGGGGAGATGGGATCCTTGTTGAGCACTTTCGGAAAAGCCGTGCTGTTTTTCAACTCGCTCTCCACAATTTCATTCTCAGAACTTGCTTCTGGACTTGGAACATCAACAGCATTCGACGATTCACTGGGAGCAGAAGATCCTAAAGCATTGATCGCACTGACACGAAATTTGTAACTCGTATTCGGTTGCAGCGTTGGAATCACAATTTCTCTTTCCGGCGTTATCCCGCAAATCTGATTCCACGATCCTGTTTTTCCGTCGACTACGAATGAGGAGAATTTCAGTCAACATACATTAAACCACGGAATGTTTCACGATCAGAGCAAAAAAAAATATTTATGGTTACCTTGAGCAAACATATCCACCGAATAACCAGTGATTCTCAGATTTCCGGTGACATCCGGATGGCACCATTGAACACAAAGCGCAGGGCTAGCATCATTTGTTACGACTGTTACCGTTGGAGCCGGCGGTGGACCAGGAATATCGGTAACCGTGAGCTTCGACGAACATGAGGCCTGAAAAAGAATGGATAGTTTCATAAAACAAGCTTGAAGAACGCTTCGAGATATTCAACGGATGAAAATGCACCGTGTCTTCTCAAAAATATGACGAGCATCGTTAGATTAATGTTTCTCAAAAAACAGGAAACCTGAACCAGACTCATTTTTGAACTGAGGTATTTCAACAGTTGAAGCTGTTGAAATACCACGAACAATAAAGGTACACAAATTTAATTGAAACTCATCCAAGGCTTTTTGGAACAATGTCTATCTCATGATTTAACTCGCATCACTACGTGACCAGTAAACGAATCTGAAAAAACAAACACGAAAAGAGAAGAGAACATTGACAAGGGTTTGCTTCCGGGGTTCGGAAAGGTTAATCAAAGGTTACTCTATTCATCTAGTGGGTCTAGTTACGATCGCCTCGGAACAGTTTAAATGACTCAAAAGCAGTTCGCCAGAAAAATTTCAAGCCATCGACCGCATTTCATTGAATAAAGCACTATTTTGGGGTCGTTTGAAAATGTTTCTTCTTTCAAGAACACCCAGACAAAAATAATTATTTCGTTAGCGACAGAGTGAAGGTTTTCCGTGCCAATTCAGTTAGCCTCTGGTTTTCAATAATTAGAAAAGCATGCCAAAATCTTGGAATGTGGCTTACGAAACAAAAAAGTGGTCAAAACCAGGCCGTGCTATGACATATTTTCTGAACGGGTCATCTTTTTTTTTTTTTTGGTGGAGAAAAAAGATAGACGCAACTGCTCATTATTACTGGTGCAACCGTGCATGAAAATAAATAAAATAACAAATCACCTGAAGACCTGATTCCGAACGAACGACACACACGTATTCTCCGTTGTTCGCCGGTTCACATCCGTTGATCTGCAAACTCAAGAAACCTTCCACACTTGGCCCGGACGCCACATGAGCGACGACCGAACCGGGACTAGCATTATCTCCACCAGATTCAGAGGTTATTACAGCCCCAGAGGGTGTAGTCCACTGGGCTTCCATCGAAGGTCGCCCAGCAGATCGCATCACGTTGATTTGGCACTTGAACACGGCATTTTCGCCCCTTGGCACAATCAAGTTTTCCATGCACTGCACGAATGTAGGCGGGGCTTCGAATGGATCTGTGACTAGTTTCCCCGCAGATGGCGAGGACGGATTTGAAGGGGCGATGGCAGTCCCAACAGCAAGCTTAACTCCTGCTATTAATGAAAACAAAGCAAAAGTTTTCTTTATGCTATTTGAGCCTTGCTCTACAAAATCACGTCAAAATTCGATTTTATTCACAGGGACGTGGTAAAATCGGACTGCACAAAGTGACACGAAAGCTAATGCACAAAATTGGGTTTTAAAAAGGTTATAGCTTGACAATAATCATACCTTTCGCGATGAATTTACAAATAAGAGAAAAAATGTTTCGCTCAAACTTTATAAAACACAAGGTAAGAAAATTTCAATATCAATGATAAAATTTTGAGCAAACGATCTTAACGATTCATTTCCTTTGAGTTCGCAATGTCATTTCATCAGATGCAAAAATATTCAAAGCAAAATCAAAGGAATATATATCAAAGCAATTCATTCAAAGCTAAATATTCAACAACAAAAAACTAGAAGATAAATGTCTTTCTTTACGATGAATGCACAAGGAGAATCTCTACTTGTTAGATCAATTCGAAGAGGGTGAAAATTGAAGTAAAATTAAGTCACGTGCATAACTGTACTCGTCAAGCTAAATAGAAGTCCAAGAAATGAGACTTTGATAATCTGTTCGACAATGACGAAGGTGTTCGAAAAAACAGACCTTCTTTGTCCTTGCTCTTCGAAGTGAAACTGGGCTTCCTGAATTTCAAGGACCACGGCTTCTTTTGACTGGACATCTTCGCTAATATAAAAGCAGGCACCCATCCCTCGGTAGCAGGTCTTTCCTCATGCGCCGGACGTAGGACAAAACAGCCTTTCGCTAGATCCGTTTCCACAATTTGCACTATGTCACCTTTGACGAGTGAGATTTCATCCTTCTCACTAGCTGTGAAGTTCATGAGCACCTTCGCAAGCTGGAAGTTTCAAAAGAGAAGATTAACGCTGATGAGAATAACTCGAGGCGCGCATCTCCGGCTGACGGCAAAATTGTTCCTCTGAAATTGGAAGCAAGCTACTTTTCAACGGTAAGAAAAAAGACGGTTAAAATTATGCACAGAAGATTTACAGGGTAATTCATCCAATACCGAATTTTTAAAAAATGCATCTCGGGAAGTAATGAACGAAGTGTCGACGGAAGGTGGGAAAATTTGAAAAAGAAGGAAAATTCTGACATCATCTGAACAGCTAGAAGCGTTCCACCCCACGGGCGGAAAGGACAAAGTGTTGACCTTTCCTTGAACAGGACTCGCCGTTGTTGCCTGGGGAATAAGAGGGAATTAGAGGCATTCTCGGGCCAATGATCATGGCCTGTTAAAATGAGAGGAATTTGGGCGATATTACGGTTCAATCAGGAAAATTATTATCTCTCAGCTCGTCTATCTTTCATATTAGTAGTACTGCAACACACACCGTCATTCGCCCAAAAAAGGTCAATGATTTCATTTTCCCAGACGTCTAACAATTGCTGAGATGATGACGGAAATGTCCCTTTTCTTTGCCACCTTCTTCGACATGAATGCCACGATCATAGTTGAAAAATGTTTTAAATATTTTTGTTTCTGTGGGTCTGGTCGCGTAAATCCCCAATTGCTTAGATAGAATGATTTTCAAAACGCGACGTTGATTTCTTTCGATTAATATATATTAAAACGAATTACAATATTTAGGTACATGTAGGTTTGCTCAAATTACGGAAATTCCGTGAATCCGTGCGGTAGTAAAAGAAAGGAGGGACATTTTTTGAATTTATTTCTTTAATTTACAGCTTACGATCAAACAAAACTTTCCAACTTCTGCTTACGATGAAACTTCCGAAAAACTAGGAATCGTCGTTTTCCTATTTTTGGTAAATGCGACCCATAAGCGTATAAATACGGTAAATTACAAATGTCGTTGAAACTCGACGAACAATCCACAGAAATTACTTTATGCAAGACCACTTCCTGAGGAACAGCAGCAGGAGCCACTTCCTCCGCTGGTCCATCCTTTTCTTTTTCTGGACCCGATTCGCTGGCCGACTTGCCACGCAACGTGCTTTTAAATCCTTCGAACAGCGTTTTCCGAAACTTGGGGGGACTATTGACGGCTTGATCCTTCCTAGATGAACCGCCGATGGTAACGGTTTCCGCTTCGGCGAAAACGGCGCCGATACGCGGAGTCTGTCCAGCAGCGGAGGCAATCGGCAATTCTTCTGTCTTGCTTCTCTGTTTTCGTGGCGGTAGAGTTCGGGATCCGGACCAGCTCCAAACATTGTTCAAGTCATTTCTGCAAAATGTTCCGTATTTAAGAGATTTTCAAAGGAGAACTTCAATAATGTAAACCTACAGAAAATTCTAACGGAACTTTGTCTATAAGGTACGCAAATTAAATAAAAACTTTACACGAAACAATATGAAGTGTCTAAATTCTGCAATACTGTATACGCAATAAAAGTCTAAAAGTTGCAATGTACCTAAATTCTTTTCAACGCTTCACGAACATATTTTCCGTCAATTTTAACACATTTCTGACCTCTATTAACAATAATTAGAGCAATTCGCAAAAGCCGATTTCATCACTCTTCGAATTTAAAAAAAATACTGGAATACCCATTACAGATCATTGTCAAAGAACATTACTCACGAAGGTGAAAGGTAAACTTTTGGACAATCGATGGCACACATAGAAAATCAATCATAACAACTTCAATACATTCTATGAAATACAGTATATTAAGCGCTACAGTAGCGGGCAAGTTTTTCCTCTTCACCATACATAACAGAAAGAAGGGATGAGTAGATTAATAACAGGAATTGATCCGAGACGACCTTCTGGAATCATGAATCATCTCTATCAACTAAAACGACATATTTTTACTGCATTAAAATATGGAAATCAGACTCCCTCCGGAAATCTGAAGCCCTTCGAAGAGTTTCAAGAAAACTTCAACATTTTAAGAATTGCACCAGATAAGACATACGATTCTCGGACGCGTAACCCTCACTCTGGGCAGTGACAAATTTCAGAACAGATTTGCAATATATTTACAAGTGTACTCTGACTGCTACATGCAACTCTACTCATTCGAGCACATCACCAGAACGTTTCCTGGAAAGTTGACGAACGGGTCCATCCGGCCGACACACAGCTGAAACCACTTCAGGAAACCGGTCAGTGAGTTAGAAAAGAAATTCTGTCACCACAAACCACCCGTTCACCCCAAAGATTAATAGATCGTCAGACTATGGGAAACTTTGTTATAATTCTTCAATGTACAAGGCATTTCCATGCAAGCTTGTCAAATCACAATAAACCGCCGACTAGCTCCATGATACGAAATCAAAACAGAACAGGAAACAAAATGACTCTACGGCCCACACTTCTCATACACTTGGGGACCACGGTTCCAAAACGATCGATTAAATAGCCTCGTCGCACATGACGCCTTGATACCGATATTTTGCGATGCAATCAAACGAAAAAATTGATCTCTTCTTCAGGGAAACGTAGTTTCCGCACGTGACAACCGAGAAGTAGAAGTTACTGTACATTTGTATCCAGCCAAGTGTCCCCAACAAACGCGCACTCACTCGAGACAACCAGTGTTTCCGAGTTGAAACGTACAAGAAACTTGAACGAAAAACAAAAATAAACGACACGCACATGACGGCTGTTGAAAATCCTCATCCTAATGCAATGTTCACTGAGTCCAGTTCAAAAATCAACAGCTTGTTCTAAAAATATTGGGTAACAGTATTGCACAAACCGTTATGTTCAGCATCTTTTCTACAGATTCGCAAACGCAAGCGAATAAGGAACTTGCAACACAGCGGCCTCACGGGTAACAACTGTTCGGGAGCCTGACTTTTCCTGCGGGACTCGGAAACACTGGAATGACAATACAATTTTTTCTTCGATATTCCATCACTGTTTTAAAAGTTCGCATAATGTTTGAGACAGACCGTTAACTGCTCACATCGATGCATACTAGAAGAGCAGAAGTATTAGTTAGAAATATCACCACACACGCAATAATACCCTGACATTTCCAACTTGGGCTGAAAATTCAAGCAATTCAAGATCTGCGTTTCAACTTCAGCCTCGGAATGCGAACTAGGATTTCGATGCAGTGAGGCGCACAAGCGATAACGCGAGAGACTTTCCAAATGCGCTCCATTCTGGAACTGCGTAAATATTTAGTAGCAAGAAAATGCTTCCTTGCCCAATCGCCGGCAAAAGGAACGACGGAAACCCGGAAGCGACGCTCGTAAGAGATCACGCCAAGCAAGGAGCAAAACTGTTCAAAAATTCCAGTAAAGAGAGCATCGCATTTGGAAGCAGCGGCCGCGAATATTTCAAGCACAGGAAACAGAAATAAACTGAGCGGTTTTGAAGCTACTCGAGGAACTCGTCATCCAAGTAGACACAAAATTACACCGTAACTGCCCCAGAAGTAACGTAAAAAAATACTCCTTTGCTTTCACATCCCCGCCTGAAAATTAGGGACAAAACTTGACACTTCGACGCATGAACCGGAGCAATCGTTTGCGTTTCCATTCGATAAAACCTTACCTACTGCACACAGACAGAACAAACTTGTTGTGCCGTTAAATTCAATACTTCCTTCGTATGGATCCTTTCAAGCAAAAATATAGCGTGACCGTACTGGAACAATCAAAAGCGCGAAAAGCCACGAGCAATTCCGTTCCGCCTGTTTCCAAAAAAACCTCATGCTTCAACATTTTGTTACTTTTCTGATTTGAGCCTTTCGGTGCAGGAAAAAGTGACTCAAACAGCGCGAGTTTTTCGCCACTGTTGACAAGAAATCACAAAAATTTTCTCTTGAAGCGATGAGAACACCCAACACACTTCGATCAGCAAACGAACGACGTCCCTCATAGAAAAAAAAATCCGGAATGTCACTTTGTTCAAAAACACGAAACAAAAAACGGGAAAAATCACACGCGTCAACAAAGTTCGCATTTCCCTCCATCCAAAGGGGTAAAAGTTATGCGAATGAACTCGCTTTCAACCAAAAACCCGAACACGTAGTCCATTATTCATCATTCATCAATACAAATGAAGAGGAAAAAACAATCACCACTCTTTCTTACGACTATGATGTTCTCTTTCCCTCGGAACGAGGCCTAAAGCATGCGAACACGGTCACTGGTTAGATCAGCACCGGTATGGAGTAAAACTTCTTCAATGTTCACGAACGCTAATATTTTCCGACCACCTGTCACCTTCTATGCTAAGTCACCCTCACTACTCACGCGTCCTTCTGGGTGAGCTCTTTTTGGTAGACAATCGGCGACTGCAACGCTTTCAAAAAATTGCTTTGCAGGTCAAGCATTTTCCGGATCTTCGACGCCCACAAGTCTCGAATGTCCGGTGAAGCCACTTGACAAACGAACATCAACTCCTTCCTCGTGTCTGTCGATTTCACCAGGAATTTTTGCACGTCGTCGCTCCATTTATCCGTCAAAGCCATGTTGTTGACCTGGAATTTTAAAAATTTAATTTTAAATTACATAATTACCGTGTAACATAGCTATATACTGTATTGTACCGTATATACAAAGAAAATGCAAGGAAAAAGATCACAAAAAAATGGGCGCGCACTCAGATTTATCATCTTCAAAGCGAAAGAGAGACCGTCAACATGGGAAGATCAGATCAACCCACATGGGCGGTTGAATCCTTCAATGTCCTTTAAATTCACAAAACTGATCAGATTGAAGTACAGTACCACGAAAATAAATGAGATAGGCTAACAGTGAATCTATTCAACTGCGAATCAACATGAATTTGGTATTTTTGAACTTGGACAGCTGTCAAGTCAACAGTTGAAAAAAACGTAATCTTTCTCTTACTGATGCCTCTAAATCGGCACTGATTTGCACAAGGCATTCAAGGTTGTGAAGCTTGAAGAAGAATGTAGGTTTGAAGAAGAAAAAAGCATACATGAATATTTATGCAATGCCAATTTTGAATGAAAAGCATTTTGTTCAAATCAAAGAAGAATACAGTTTGCTGAAAAACAGAATCCAATTGCTAAAGACTGGGTCCACGGTCTTTTTTCTCTTCAAGGTGCGAGTAAATAAATCTTTCTCTTGTATCGAAAAACGAATACTGTACAAGTAAATTATCAAGCATCAGAAACCGCAATCACGTAAATTCAAGAGATTCAGAGACGATTTGGCATGTTGAACTAACCTTCAGGTGGTTTTTGTAAATGAAACCGGGGTTAGTGAATTGAGTTTTTTTCCCCGTGAGTTCCGAGAAAATCATGCTTTGCTCGAATAGGAAGACCTCGAGATCTTTAGGCTTGGAAAGGTTTGACGCCGAAGTACCGTCCTGACAAGTCAGGGTCCCGTAATGGAGTAATTTTCCTTGCGCTGTTATCCGACCCTGTTCGTTCGAGGCACAGGAGAAGGAGAAAAAATAATATCAGCTTAACAGTTTTCTCTATAAAAGCAACTCATTGTCCCAAACCTCGAAGCCCTGAATGCGTCCAATGAGCATCATATCATTGGCTTCCTTCGGAACAATACGCATCAACTCCACTGCTTTCCGCAACGATTCTGCTTCCTCTATCAACCCCGCCTTCTCCGTAACTTCGTACAAGTCTTTGAGCAACAGCTGATACTTGGTGATTCGTTGCACCGGCTTGATCAGCAGGTCTGGTAGTTGTAGTTTATGTCCGAGCTTCTGACGCAATTCCTATCATTCCCAAGGACATCGACAATATAGCTGCACGAAGCGCGGAAGTACGCCAGAAAAATTCCAACAAACCTCGAAATAAGTCTCAAGGTATTCTGACACGATATATTCGGATTTGTTTTTGTTTTCGCAGTAAACGACGTAGAGACGAAGCTTGTTTTCGCATCGTAGAAAAAGTGGCCCAAGCTTCGTTGTGCATTCTTCACATCCCTCAAGGGACTTCAGGAAAGAACTGAGGAATATTTGCAGAACAAGCAAGCTCTCAATCAATATATTTCCGAAGCAAAACTCAAAGTTGTTTTCAACGTATCTGTAAAATATTCTGTTCCTTAAGCAGTGAAATAAATTTACAGAACATATTGTGCTCAATTTCAGATTAGTTCAGAGAGCTCTCAGAGGAAAAACTTTTTTTCAGATTCGGAACGAAATACAGTACCATGAAAAGGAACAGAAACTTCTAAAAATCGAGAAAAACTCACTTCTTGTGCCATTCGTAGATAGCTTCAAGATTTCCAAATACTATCTTATCCTTGCCACCTTTCAAGTCATCTGGCATCGGAATATCGCAGTTCGGGTCTCTCATTTGCGCCATATAACCTTCCACAACCAGTCCCAAATCCTTAACGTAGTTTCGCTCCGTCTCCACTAGCTCCCGAATAACATGCATGCGACGCAACGCGTGCTTGTTGGGCACTTGCGGCTTGCACGCGGACGAGTCGTCTCGAGACGTTCCGTTAATATCTCCACTAGCCTGGCTGCTCGTCAAACCAGAAGCAGCGCGGTCGGTAACATCTTCTGGGGTGAGGGGAAAATCTGCACTGGAGTCCGAGGGTCCAACATCGGCGGAGGCCTGTTCAGCTCGATCACTAACTGATAAGGTTCCCTGTAACAGAAGCGAAATTCATAATTAAAAATCGGAAATTTCTACATCCGACGAGGAAACCGATGCGCGAGCGCATTTCAAATAGTAATGCACGGAACCATCAATTATTTAAAAAACATATTACGGCTCGCATTTTCAAGCACGTTTTTGACACATTCTTAGCCGCAGTTGAACGTCATCCCAAAGTTGAATTGGCCACTTATCGACCTTCCCAAATATTCGCATATCGATGATGATTTAGGAGATTACTGGAGAGGATTTTGTTCATTTTTATTTGATTGCAGTGAGAACTCGCTGAGAATAAGATAATCAATACTGCACTGAAATAATTTTCAGTGTCCGATTTTTCAAATGACATCCTATGTTGGAGTAGAGAAGTCAAGGGTAAAGGTTTTTTTTCAACGCATACAGAGAATAATCCAGATCATCTTTGACAAGACTCATTCGCAGGACAATATGCGAACATCGAACTCCGCGCAGATATCCGGACACCCATCGCATCGGCAGCGACTCCACAACGAAATGTTCTCCACAAATATTCAATTTATGGTTCAATGTGTAAATGGTTGACAAGAGTGAAAAACGATGCGCAGTCGTTCCATTTCACGAAGTCGCTAGAAATAACAGGCAGCTCAGCACGAGACTCTGAATTTCGAGGGATGCTCACCAATCCTTTGTGCATCGACGACATGTTTTCTTCGGGCGCCAAAACCACGATTCCATCGGCCAGCTTAATACACGCAAAGTAAACATTTTTTAAAATAAGAAATCAAGAATCGCAGACATCGTACGAAAATGCCAAGAAGCTGACTCACGCTTTTCGATGCTTCGTCAGCAGAACCAGAGTTCGTGGCCGGCTCGACAACAGGCTCGTTGGACAGGATTTCTTCGCCGGGCGTGGGCGCCAGGATTCGGGAGCTTGTCGCTTCGTGACCTTTTCTCGCTATGTCGTCGTCACTGTCACCCGGATGCGCGATGGCTGAACCCGCGCTTTGCTTGTTCCCCATGGTACTCGTCGTCGGACTTCCGTCTGCGAACTAATTCACAAATCAAACTAAAACTAGGAGCTGAAACTGCTTTGGGGGACCGTACGGATCTCCCTGCATTTGAGTTTAATTATCCAAAACAAAAATAGCTTAACACGTCTGATAAGCATGGAAATTGTTCCGTGAATCAATAGGGTCATCCGATGCCTCAAATGGATATGTCCTTTTAGTATGGTGCACGCTAGGTGAAAATTCGAAAAAACTCAATCAATTAATACTACTTGAGGTTTACAGTGGAAAGAAGAGTATTTGAGAGATATCCAATAAACTGTAGCAGACAAGCAAACGGCGAGTAATCTCGCTTCAAACGCTGCTTTTACGAAGACATTTAAAATTCCGGCGATCAGGCGATACATTACGCATCGAAGTTATCAGGTGAAAGACAATTTCTTTCGTCAGTGTTCCACACGTCGTTACGGGGTCATCGTCATTCATCATTCAATAAGATCGAAATTTAAACAATACCATGCACAGATTCATTACGCTACATGCATAAACTGAGGGAGAGTCAAGCGTCACTTCATGCATCCCGAAACAACACATGCCCAAATGTATCTCTGTCGGAAAACCCATGCTACATTAGGCGGTGCACAATAAAAATAAGGTATCGGTCATGATTTTGATGCGGACGCATAGAAAGATAACCATACAGATGCTCACTTGAGTAACTTTTTATCTACACCTCAACCGCGAATAATCTGAACTATTCTCACGAATTTAGCATAACAATATCACGAAAATTTGAACAAAAGACGAAACTAATGACGAACTCAGCCCGTGAATTGCCACCGCTGCTATTGTGGTTGACATGATGGTCAGGGAAACCAAATTTGGGACATCTGGGACGCCTATATTGGGACATCAAGCCAAGAACTTCTAATGGCTGAAATGGCTTGAGATCATACCAGGGTGAAAAGACAAACATCGATCAGCGGACTGAAGTAATTCCGAATATACATGTAGGAATGAAGAACCATGAAAATGAATAACATCACCAACACCACATTTCGGGTTAGGAACACGGCAAATTCCGACGAAGGATGTCAGGAGGTGAAAACCGTCACGTTCACGTACGAGATTCTAAGTCGTTAGCACGTTAAGGCCTGAACAGGGAGTTACATAACGCAGGACTTTTCAACGTTTTCGTCAAACTGTATCTCTAAAAAAACAATTACCCCCAGCGTAGGGATGCAATGCATTTTTCTCTCAATCCTTCAACTGGTATCCTCTCAAGTTAGGGACATGGGAGTTAATCTCGAGCACAAAAAATCAACCTTATTTTTTTTATTTTCCTGGACGTACCACCGGGTTTGGTTGAAAAGTCCTGACGCAGGGGGAATGCAAAAGAAAAGCAACAAATCGGGTCAGCCCTAATCACCTGTGAGTCCTTCCTCCGACCTCCGGCATAGAAGCCCTCCGACGACGAATCCTCGCCGTCGCCAGAGATCCTGTCTGGCACCGATGACTTCCGCTTCGGATGCTTCCAGGACAACAACGTCAAGTTGCTGCTGAGCCGTTTGATGAAGCCGCGCTTTTTTGGGTGCGCGTCAGGCCCGCCACTGGCACCCGCGTCGGCGTTTTCCTCGCAACGACTGCCGCCGTTACTCGGCTGTCGGCCCACGTGCGGCATAGTACAACAATGAACGGGGCTCACTACTTCGCGGCGAGTACACACCGTGCCATGACCTCTAACTTCACCACCCCTCGTACCAACCTACTCACTCGAAAACTTACCAATACGTGTTCGTTTTCTTAGCATCAACCGGTCTGCAATAACGATAGGCAACGGTAAAAAAAACCTTCCCGGGCTGCCAACTTTTTCAAGGTTCCAAGATACAATTAAAACAGAACATACAGGGTCCAACGCAAAATACCCTTGTAAAGCAATTCAACACTACACAAATGAAGCATTACGACAAAACATTCCCCACCACAAAACATGTTCATTCCAAATTTCCTTATACAGATGGACTATCTCTACAACAATATTCTCTACAACGATTCAATCTATTTACTGTAGTACAACGATTTTCTTTCCCACAGGGTTCTCTCCCCATGTCATAGACATTGAGATTCTTTTCAACGGATTTTTTTCTCGTCGCTTGAATTTCGTACGGAGAGTTTCGTAACAAATTCTCAATCGGTGATCCACGGAATAAAAAAAAAAAAGGATGGCATCAATGAACAGGAAAACAAGTACTGTGCAATACAGTTGAATCAGTCGACGTTGCACATGAAGAGATGTAACATTGTATGCACAAAATGATGAATAATTATAAAAGCATGTATAATACTGGAAGTAAGCACTCAACAACAAAATATCTGTTCCGGAGTTAACGACATGGGGATTACTTTCAGAAAGGGATCCGTAAGTCGAAAAAACTCGTGTACACAGCCTATGTAGCATGATAGACGGGAAGTGCCTTTTAGTATCTCATTTGAACTGGTGCTGTTTTCAGATTACAGTGATTATGAACCTGAAGCAAGAATTTGATTCAATTGGACTGAATAGATGGTCACAATCGTTCAAAATCGTCACGACAAAAAATTATCACCGGTATGTTCGCCCTCGATTTAGAAGTAATTGGACGACGTTCACAAACTCGTCCCATTGAGGTTTTGAACCAACAAAAGTCATTGAAATCGGAAAGATTTCCCCATTCTTAAAAATATATTTCTCAACAGTGGCCAAGAACTTCACCAAATTCTCACGGTCAAAGCACAGAGAAGCTTTCATTCTCTCGACGAAGCAATAGCTTCATTAAAAGTTCGCGCGAATGTTCAGGGATTTTAAGGTTGAACAGTATTAATTTTTGAAAGCTCGGTATCACTTGAAACGAAATCGAAATTTCGCTCATTGAAAAAATTTGAAACCCAAGATCCCAAAAAGACAAGGTTATTCCGCTCGCATTACCTACCAAATTATTTCTTAAATGGAATAACAATAACTGTTTTTTTTTATTCTCTTGATCAGAGAAAAGGGGGAATCATATAGGCTTTGAAGTCGTATGAAGAGAGGCACACGCGAAGGACAAACAACGACAACTGTCCCTCGAGTACACGTCGCTTCTCATCGAACCAACTCTCGCCTCCGCAACCGCGCGTTCGTGGAGTGCAACTTCTAACAATACCACACCTGTAAGCCAGCAACGCACGGCGAATGCTCAATCGGCGGATAAAGTTGGAAAACAAAAAAGCAGTATCCAATGAGGGAAGTAGAATTCACCAGCTGCCGCAAGTTTTATTACGGTTGGGCTTGGAGGGAATAGTATTGCATGTATACTTGGAGGAGTCGACGCACCAACGTGAATATGGACACGCAAAACTGAACGGCTCGGAGAAATGTAGAAGGCGATTCGCGGTTCGCGACCAAAAGAAAACTAGACACATCGTAGAATGGTCGTGAGTTCACTAACCAGCTTACACCTCGCTTCCGAGTTTCACCGTTAAAGCAGCAGTGACAGTGTTTTGCACACATTTTTCAATCCAATCAGTATTCAAGATGAGGAAATTCGATGTTTTAAAATAGGTTTGGTTAAGCTAGTTGTGACTTTGGTGCTTTAAAATGCCGTACTTAGGACAGCCATTTTATTCGGGTGTTTGGTTGGGTAAGGTTCGTTAGATGAGGCTAATTAGGTACTGTGTGAGATTTGAGAAATCCGGTGAGGTTAGTAAGATGTTCTGTCATCCGAGAGGTATTAAGTTAGGTCAGCATGGGGTAAGGTAAGTTTGGATTAGAAAGACACTGAATATATTTCGCACGGTTAGTTGGGTATAATGTAGGTTTGAATAGGCAGTTCTGTCGAGCTAGTGGGTATCTTCGAGAAGAAAGTGTCTCGACTTTTTTCTGAGCTAAGAATATCGGAAAAGTTTCGAAGAGTTCAATGAAGGCCAAATACACTGCGCCGGAAGGTTGCACATTAAAATTAGAGTTTTCCAAGAAAAAATGCGTGTGGGGTTCGACCTCTTGAAAAAGTTTCGCTGGCATTGATGAGGCTTGAATCTTACATGTCCAATGCCAGCGATTGGCAATCCTTTTCCCGGCCTTCGAGCAAACAATCCGAACTTCGCACTTCGATCAACAGTCATCTAATCATCGCATGGAGCAAATATGTGTTGCTTGCAAGCACGAGAATATCCCTTATCGCTCAGCTCTTCCCTTTCCAGCAATATTCCCGAATGCCGAATCCCCTTTCACGCAACCAGCCTATGAACATTGAGACCACAGAGTTTCAAGCACTAATTCTGCAACACCGATCACCGATCTTTTTCTGCGAGAGTAACATTTAACACCAAGTTTCACGGCGCACGGCAACGCGGTTCCAGCACGCGAGTACCTTTCCAGATAGAGGTCGATGATTCACTAGCACGGGATTTCGGCAGCGGAGGCGAAATAGCCTTCGGCTCAAATCGAACGCGAAATGAATTTTTACCGACACAGTTGACCTTAATTTGGTACGATCAGTCGTAAAATTGCAGGCGCACCTTCCTAGGACAACGAACGCACGGTGCAATGGGTCCGCGCTTCGATCTCGAAAAAAATAGCAATCGCTGAATGAAAAAGAACGAACTGATCCTGTGAGACCATGGGCGATTGAAGGCCTCTATAACCGCAAGATTCTTTTTTCGAAGAGCTCCCGCTTTCAAAATTTACGCAACTCGGGGATAAGCTGATTTTCATTTTTTTCAACTAATAAAAGAGGAGTTCTACAGTATGTTAGCGTGAACTCCCTGGGAAAGAGCCGGAACCTGGAGTAACTTGCTCCACGTTTCGTCCATTGAACTCATCTACAACCTCAGCTGGACATTAAGGACAGCTATCCTAGAAAATCTCGAAAATAAACTCTTAATTCAGTTTTTAGCTAACAGTTGTGTTTAATAAAAAAAACAGGTGGGGCACATGATTGAGTTAATACGGAACGCGGTGCGCCACGATTTTTCTCAAGCTCTGTCCGAGTTTTCCGGGTGGTGTGCCACCGAGTAACAGCAAATCAATCGGGAACATCGAAAAGCGCTAAAAATAGGGAGCATGTAGAACGTTTACTTCTCACCTCACCGCAAACTATAGATCCGCTTCCAGCCAACAACGACGGGAAAATCGAATCTACTGGCACTGATCTGATGATGTGTTTATCTGTAGTCCATTAAAAGCGAATCGAGCGTCGACACCGATGAATCCACCACACACACACACAATATGAATTCGAAAGCCGCGAGGTTGAAAACTACTGCGTAAATGAGAAGCGACGGCACGATTCGGCGAGACTGCTTTAACCGCGATTCATCAGCTGTTTATCGGACTACGAGCTCTCAAAAAAGTAAATTCAGAATAAGCACTTCGAAATCGTCAGCATCGAAGAACTTGGTCAATAAAACAAATTAAAAACATGCGCACAACGGTAACAGAAAGAACAGACGCATGCGCAGGCTCGTCACAGAAGCACGGAGATCAAATAACATTCCGGTGTCAAGATGCATTCTACTTCCAAGACAACTTAAACTTGCCGCACGCGTTGAAAACAAACGTCCTACTTCTTGTTCACGGCAAACTGCGGTCTTCACAAAAATGTATCCGAACAGAACAAAGCGTTTACCACGCGTAGCGAAGGTTTCGGCGATGGAAGTACAGTAATACTGACATTTTAGCAAAGGAGTGAACCAGCTAACACTACAGTGCTTAAATCCATGCGGTTTCGAAAACTAAACTCACGTATTGGTTATAGGAGTTGATCTTGTATTAAGAAAAGCACATGATCACGGTCCAAGGGATATTCTCTAAAGGTGCCCAACCCAACGCGGTGAAGTCACACCTCTCCATAGCTGCGAGGGTTTAAATCGACGGTTTCGGCATCTTATCGCATCACATAAATTACGAATACCAATCAAATGGTGAAATGAAATCTGCGGAAATTTAACCAGTACACTCATCAAATACGGCAGACGCACACGAAACAAGACATGATCACTGACGGGAGCAGGAAACATTTCCTGGGCACAGATCCTACTCCCCCTAACCTTGTCGCAACTAAGCCCACGCAGCGCACAGCGAGGCACGGCTGCTACCGGCATACTTTACGTGGCACTTTCAATATATTACATAGGTGTCACTCCACACTTTTCATGGGTACAACTGTACTCATTCCTACAGTTGACACTAATACATTCATCTGGACTATGGAGAAGCTTACATTTTGTTAGTTGAGTTTAGATTAGTTAGATAAGTTCATTTCTGTAAGGTTTACATAATAATTTGGTAAAACAAACTTAAATACTGTACAGTGCATCAACTTGAGCCCTGCATCATAACCAATTTCATATAGCGGTGAAGAATAGAAATTGGGAGAGGAGAGGTAAAATCATTGTATCACCTTGTTTATCCGCAGTTAAGCAATTACATTAATACTGTATACTGCATACTATATTACAGTATACCAAACACACCAAGACTTCCTTCACTCCATATAACAATAAGTTAAAAGCGATCAGCTCTCTTGCAGCAATAGGCTCTGCCTCTGATAAGATTCTCAGGTTATATAGTAACAGCCACTGCTGGCCATATAGTGTCCTGTGCATCACCCATTCCTATAACACATTTGACTGTTTTGTACCTTTGTTTGATCAGGCCAATCAGAGGCTGGCTGATGCAATACTGTGCACACTTGCATCAGCCATATATTCTGCAACTGTTGAGTAAGAAGCCTCTCTCAGCCTCTTTCTGTGTGCAGCCTCCATTTGGATCAGATTGTTCTGAAACTATTGAAGTGTATCGTGTTTCCAAATGGGAATTTG